CTGCCTGGGCTGACTTCAAACCATGATCCTCAGATCTCAGCCTCCTGAGTAGGTAGGATTACAGGCATGAGCAACCAGCTAATTTTTATTAATTTGTATAAATTATAAATATTTATATTGTTTTTTAACCACTTACTAATTTTTTCAAATAAAAATTAATTTCTTCAAATTCAGAAATTTCTGCTTCTGTATGAAATTTCTGAGCTTTTTTTCCCTCCTCACCTGAAAAGTTCAGTCATGTAGTTTAATATGTTTTAAGAATTTGGCCTGTCAAGTTCGAATAATATATTTTTTCTGAATACTACCATGCACTAATGTATATATCTTATATAACTTGTAATCTTTATAACAGCACCATAAGTATCTATTTATGTAGTTAAACTGAGACGCAGAGAATAAGAAGCATGTGCTTAAGACTCTAATCATTAATTGTGATTTGTGGAGTTTGAATATACTTATGTCTTAATATGTTCACAAGTAGTTTCATCACTTGTGAAATATGAGGGCAGTGAGTCTTACTTGATCATAAGAATCACCCAATCCTCTTATTAAACTATGTTTCTAGTCTCCATCCCTAATAAATATAGTCAAAGCTATATAGGAAGGACTCTGTGAATCTCTTTGTTATTGTCCAGGTGAATCCTAACACCAAGCAAGTTAGAGAAACCCTGAGCTAAGTTAATTCTCTTTTAGAACTAAGATTTTTAAATTTTTTAATATTATAGGTCATTACTTCATTTACATAATATATACGTTATCACAAATACAGTTTTAAAATATAAAATAAACATAAAAGTTATATTAAATTTCCCTTTTACCCCCCCCCATTTTTTAATGGATACATTGAGATGTTTTATAACTATTTGGTTGGTCAGCCAGTTGTCCTAATAACTGGACAGAATTTCTCCCAATAGTGTGCATACACCATGTACAAAACCCTTTCCATAGTTAACATGGATGTCTAAGTGCTATAGTCCTTCTAAGTCTTCTAATATTCCTTTGGAATTTAACGCGTATTTTTTAATATAACATTGACCTTAGAATTTATTTTTCCATCCAGAAGTTTAAAGTTCTTAGGATACTCATTTTATCATTGACTGAGACCTTGATTTTTAGCCATGTGGTTGATTTAAATGAGTGGTTAAATGTCTTACTGATAGTCAGGTACTTGCTGTGTTTGTAGAAGAACATAGTCATCAAGTGACAGGTCACAAAAGAGTTGTGTGGTCTCAGGGCTGATGTGTTGGCTTGCTTTTTCCTTCACAGTTCTTTTAGTAAGAGTCTTTTTAACTCTTTTGTCATCAACTTCATGGTGACTTATCACAAAGAATTTTAAGGTGCTGTATCAAGTTAACCTATGTTTCATTTATGTGGGAATGTACTGAAGTTGCCTCAAGAATTTCACTGTCAACCCCAATATTGTCTTTGATATAGTATTAATGGCTTTATTCCTAGAATTCTGTCCTAGAAACCTTATTCCAAGATTAAAACATTATAGGAAAAAGTTTATACCCATATTGCCTTCTTACAACATTCCTTTCTGCATATAAGATATCTTTTCCCTATCTCTCCTTTCTGTCTTAGTCAGATTGATATATTTAAATTCAGAAATGTCAACTTCTCTATAAAAGTTTCCAGGATTTCTACCTCCCCTCATCTGAAGATCTTTCCTGCCTTTTGGTATCTATGACATCTTAGATCTAGTTATCTTTTGCCTACTGTGTTGACTTATGAATATATTGTGCATTTTTATCCTACCCTCTGTGAACTTCTTCACTAAAATTCTGCCTCTCTTTGAATTTAGTCTTTGCAGGTAAGTTTTCAGTTGGATTAGATTCTACTATGGAACCTCAAATGTGCTGTGGTCTCATTCTGTCTCTTCTTTGTAGGTTTTTCCAATGTTTACCCCCTGCCCTTCTGTGTGGCTTTTCATCCAAAGCAAAAAAAAAAACAGTGTCTAAGCGTAAAAGCGGTTTCTGACCCTGTTCCTAAGATATATTTATGCAGAATAACGTTTTCTGTTTTCTACATTTTTATACCTTTTGCTATTTTTTTGTTTTTAGAAAATGAAATTAATTGATGTAAGATAAACGTATTAAAATTCAGCAAAACTAAAGAGTAAATAACCTCAATTCTATTTGACTTTTTAGCTCTTTATGTTCAAAATTTGTCTTTACATAAAATCAGTGTGGGTTAATTTGGATTAGCTCTGATATTCAAGTCAAGTCTTCATTATTATTTCTGTACCTTTTCTTGACTTCTTTTTCTACATCGCTAATATCTTTAATTTCTTGTTATTTTTACCCATCCTTCCTTGAATCACATCCTTTTTTAGGCATTCTCATTGCTGCAGACTCCATAAAGCCTCTGTCTCTCTAAATTATCCTGTTTCAACTGTTGAACAACAACAAGAATCAATGTTAAAGAAAAAGATACAGGCAAGAAGAAAGCACGGTTTTTTCATTCATTGTCAGAGAACCCAGGTTTTCTATGATTCCAGTTTCACATAAAATCAAAATTTGGTAGCTGAGATTCTAGAAGTATACTATTTATGACTATAGTTCAGCCTTAACTTCATCCTTTAATTATTGGCACAAAGGCTAGTGTATTGCCTTTTTCTTCTAAACTAGCCATAACTGCAAAGTAGTAGCATAGGCGATAAAGGTTCATCTGTTGAGTAAGTGGACTAATACTCTGTTGAACCAAAGCTCTGGGTTTTTTGTTGTTGTTGTTTTTTTTGGGGGGGTGGCTGGGAGAAGGGAAGGGGACTGTTGACTAAGCCCATGAATCTTCATAAGAAAGAGAGAAAGGATGACTAAATGTGGGGGGAAGGGAAAAGGGGATACCAAAAGAGTGAGAGAACCTGTAATCCTAGCTGCCCAGGAGGCTGAGGTCTGAGGATCACAATTCTAAGCCAGCCTGGGCAGGAAAGCCTATGAGGCTGTTACCTCCAATAAGCTACTCAGAAGAAGCCAGAAGTGGCACTGTGGCTCATGTGGTAGAGCGCTAGCCTTGAACACAAACAGGGGCTTCACCCAGGCCCTGAGTTCAACCCTGAGTTCAAGCCCCAGGACCAGCACTTCCCCCTTCCCCTCCCCCCCCCAAAAAAAGTGAGAGTACAGTGTGAAATGGTGAAGAGAAGTTTGAGGTTTATTTTGTTCTTAAAAACCCCTAGCACAACCACTCCAGTGGTTCCTGTGTTTAGCTTTTCTGAGCCCACAGTTTCTATCTATAATATAGAGAAACTCTTCTGCACAGAGTGGTTAAGGACCCTTGTGAATATGGCTTAGTGGTAGAGTGTTTGCCTAGCATGCATGAAGCCCTGGGTTCAATTCTTCAGTACCACATAAACAGAAAAAGCCACACGTGGCTCCATGGCTCAAATGGTAGAGTGCTAGCCTTGAGCAAAAAAAGCAGCTTAGGAACAGTGCCCAGCCCAGACCCTGAGTTCAAGCCCCAGGACTGCTCCCCCTTCCCCCCCCCCCAAAAAAAAAAAAACACTTTCATTATCTTTGCCCTAGTTGGGAGCTCAATTGAATTTTCAAGTCTTCTGAAAGTATCTACAGTGTAGGGCACTATTTTCAACTTATGAGGAAGGTAGGTGCCTCAAGTGTTGGAGGCATGGTCTGAATTAGATTCTCAGTTTACCATGCAGTAAGTTTTTACTTGTTACCTCCCCTAGCATCTTAAACACATTATACGTACACATGCACGCACATACTCAGGTGACTATTCTTGATTTGGTATATAACCACAGTCTGAAGCATTATTTTTAAATTTAAATACACATGAAAGTAAATTCCTATGAACTGTTGTGCAGCTATAAAGTTGATATTGATATATGTTGACAGTTAAATATTTTTAGTTGACCCCCCTCCTTGGGGTTAATTATGATACCTGTGAGTACTGTGAATACCAAACAGTACTTTAACCTAGTAACTTATACAATAGCAAGAAAATGTCAATTAAGACAATTTATATAAATTAAGACAAAGATGCTATTGGACTGTAATTGTTTAGCAGTCGTGTTTATTTAGTGAACACCTACTATGTGCCAGGCATTGTCCTAGGCAGTAAATAGATGAGTCAGTTTAGATGAATAAAACAGTCAAGAACTTTTCAGTTATTACTCATTTGCTAAACCCATTTCCTTCTTTTAAGGGATGGTCATTGTCTCTAGATTGTAGAGCTGAAAAGTGTTTTAGACATCATCTAGAGGAACTTCCCCTGTTTGTTCAGATGGAAAATCTGAGCACTAAGATTCACAGGAAAGTACGAATGTAGCAGGCAATTCCAAGTAACAATAAACTATTAGAAACTAGTACATGTTTATTATGTTGTTAACATCGTGTTTAGAAAAAAAATAAATTTTAAGAAAAGTTCATTCCACTATATTATTTTCAAGTAAAAATGAAGAAATAGATATATATATATATATATATATATACATACCACTATAGTTTTGTATCCCATAGTAACTGAATTATAAATTATTTGCCATAATTTATCTTTAAGAGTTTCAAAAGCGACTACATAGATGATGGTTCACGAGAGTCTAGGTAGTGTGGAGAGAAATAATGTGCTTTTCTACCTTGCAAAAATTAAAGCAGTTCACATCTGGAATTCAGGCTCCTTATTTCAAGGATGAGGGTATTGATTCCCACAGGGATTAAGTAACTTGCCCAAATAAGAGCCAACATTAGCAACTCATATTAAAGGAGTGTCAGTTTTAATATGTTAGTATCTTTATGTTTTGATATTCAGGTATCAGTTTTTTCAGTACTACATGATCTTTATTGTCATTCCTAGACATGTTGAGCATTGCCCTTTTTTAAAATCTAAGAATTAATAGGAATTAATGAAAATTCTCCTAATTAGAAAATTATGAAGCCATCAGAACCAAGTCTCCTGGCATTATTTCTGATTGTTTTTATCTTTTACGATAAAAGGTATTCAATATTCACTTGCTAGTCACAATAATTTTTTTCCCCCTACAATAGATACTGTCTTCTGAGAACTCTGAAGCAATGTCAAACATTGAGGGAAGCTCTCATTGCTGCCGGAAAAGAGATTATATGGCATGGGCGGGCAAAAGAGGAACCAGCTCATTACTGTAGCATTTGTGAGGTAAGTAATTATTCTCATCCAGTTTTGTAAAGCCCATTTCCCTTCCACTTCTGATTTCTCTTTAGTTTTTGTTTCTTTTTTAACTTACACTTTTAATGTGATACATTTTACTGTAATCAATATTGTATTCAATTTTGTTCCTTTCCTATTATGTATTAACATTTAATATGATGGTGTAATATTTCATTAATCAATAGTATCTAATACAGATTAATTTGTCTGGTAAGTCATCAATAGATGATAATGTTAGTATTTTAGTTCTCCTTTGAAGGATAAATATGATTTCAGCTGTTAAAAATAGGTGAGAATCAGCAGTAGACTGTCATGGCTATAAGAACAATGTAGGAAGCCAAATGCTAGTGGCTCACACTTGTGATTATAGCTACTTAGGAGGCCGAGATTGATTGCTCAGACAGGAAAGTCCAGGAGACTCTTATCTCCAGTTAACCACCAGAAAACTGGAAGTGGAGCTGTAGCTCAAAGTGGGAGAGTGCTAACCTTGAACAAAAGAGCTCAGTGACAGTGCCTAGTCCCTGAGTTCAAGTCCCATGACAAACAGAAAAACAAAAAAGAACATAGGAGCGGATAGTCTCCACTATGACATCTTGAATGAGTCTTTTTTTTTAAATTTAATTTTGTTGTCCCAGTGATGTACAGAGGGGTTACAGTTACATACATAAGGTAGTCAGTATATTTCCTTTCAAACTTGTTACCCCTCACTCATTTTTCTCCCATTTTCCCTCCTCCCTCCCCACCCGCAAATTGTACAGTTCATTTCCAACATATTGTCTTGTGAGTATCACTGTTGTATTGGTTTGCCCTTTGTCCTTTGTCTCACCATTTTGTTGTTCCCCTTCCTTTCCCTAATTCAGATAAATATATGCAATACCCAGGGCACAAAAATCAAACACAGTGACAACAGAGGATAAACCAAAAGGGGAAAAACCCAGAGAAAAAAGAAATTATAGTACATTTAAAACAGCAACAACAAAAACAAACCTCTTGCTTTTGATCTTGGAGTTCATTTCACTTGGCATCATCTTTTATGGTCATATTGAACTATTTTGTTCATCTGTTAGGGCTATCCTAGACATATACTAGTTATTAAAGATGGGAAACCATACGATCTATGTTTCTTTGGGTCTGGCTTACTTAATATGATTTTTTCCAAGTCTTTCCATTTCCTTACAAATGGGCTGATGTCATTCTTTCTGACAGAAGCGTAGAATTCCATTGTGTATATATCCCACAGTTTCTTGGTCCATTCATCTACTGAGGGGCATCTGGTTGCTTCCATATCTTAGCTATGGTAAACAATGCTGCAATAAACATGACTTAAGGGAGATGATACTTCATTGTGAAGTCATCAAAACCACTAAAAGTTTTTGAGCAGACACCTAAGTTTGATCTGTACTAAAGAGAGAAAACCTGGTTGGAGAAAACATATACCAAGTAAGCTATTGCAGTGCTCTTACAGAAGCTGTCATCCTACACTAGAACCTGCCAATAGGATCATTTAAGAGGAGAATTAAGAAATAAATATTTAGAAGGTAAAATTAGCGAAACAACTAATTAAATGACAGAAAGGGACAAATCTTGCTCAGATTACTCAGTTCATATTGTTGCCCATTGATACTAATGAGAAATATGACAGGCTGTAGGATTTTAAGAAATGAATCCATGAGAGTTTTCTGTTTTGCAAAGAAACTTAAGGGTATGCCAGAGTTAGAAATATTGAGGAACTGTTCTAAACCTCAAAATGTGTGTAATTTTAGTATTTTGTCATTCTGGTATTTATAATTTCTTAATTTGAAATGATTCAATTCTTTGGCTCTTTTAATATTGTATAATCTGGCCAAAGTCAGTCATTAGGTGGTTAGGTTTGCCTTAGAGAAATGAGTGTATGTTTTCCATCAAGTGAGAATGCTTCCTATATACCACAGTGTTATTTCTTATCCTACCCGAATCTTAGAAGTTAAAACTTTCTGTGTAAGGTAGAGATATTTTTTTTAATCACTATGTTCAGGAATATGCTTTTTATGTGTACTTTTACTCCTTCACATGAGGCTTATAAGTGAATACTGTCACTTCTCAGTTTCCTCATCTGTATAATAATCAGTAAGCAGACTTCTCATTCAACAAATGAGTGTTGAGGTTTGGCTACACAGTGGGCACTTAATGACATGCTCAGGTAACACACAAGTGAATGAATCAATGCTCTTTTTTTCTTTTTGAAGAGCATAGTCTGATAAAAGGCTAGCATCCTTATTACAATGGGATGAGCTCTGCCATAGAGAAATAAAAGGGAACTAGTGATTATCTGATTATGTGCTAATGTGTTAGATTTAAAATCAGAAATAAATGGACCTTTATCATACATTTGAATTAGGCTTTGCAGTAAGTTGTCACAAATATGTCATTCTGTTCGAGTATTCCTCTAAATATGCCTTACTAGCATGTTTTTGGGTTTGGTACAATATAAAGATTTCCCAATACAGCCATATTTTTGTTGTTAAAGTACCTATGCAGCTGGGCACCTGTGGCTCACACCTGTCATCCCACCTACTCAGGAGGCTGAGATCTGAGGATCACAGTTCAAAGTTAGCCCATGCAGGAAAGTCTGCAAGACTCTTATCTCCAATTATTACAGATAAAGTCAGAAGTGGCGCTGTGGCTGAAGTGGCAGAGTGCTGGCCTTGAGCAAAAGGAGCTCAGGGACAGCATATGGGCCCAGAATTCAAGCCCCAGGACTGGCAAAAGATAATAAAGTACCTACTCTTAGCCAGAGATAGCTGCCAATAATTCATATAAGGAATTCTATGATTATACTAAAGCAGTACAATAAATATAACAATCTGTATTGAATGTGGGTTTTTTTTTGTGTCAAACAGGTGGAAGTTTTTGATCTACTTTTTGTCACTAATGAGAGTAATTCTCGAAAGACTTACATAGTGCATTGCCAAGATTGTGCACGGAAAACTAGTGGGAATCTGGAAAATTTTGTGGTGCTAGAACAGTACAAAATGGAGGACCTAATGCAAGTCTATGACCAGTTTACATTAGTAAGTGAAATCAACATGTGAGTACATAGTTAGCTGGGTTATGAGACAACAGTGTTAGCTCTGCCACCTGATAGGTAGGAGGTAATGAAATGTAAATTTTCTTTTACCTCATCAGATGTTACATGAGCTTGTGTTCATCTCATTCCTTTGTCCTTCACCTCCAAGAATACATTCCTATGATGTTCCTATTTTTGCATTTGTTCCTGAGTGAGATCAGCCTAAATATTCATGTTGTAATTCTTAATTACATTGTAAATATTCGAATTACATTTAAAATTTTTGAGCACCTTCACATCTTTTGTCATTTGATCTCAGTTGATAGAATGTTTGTATACATAAGTTATAAATCATGGCCATAAAATGAATCAGTAAATGTGCTTTAAATATACTTTTACTTTTTAGAATTAATTGTATTTGTTTAAATTTTTGTACTTGCCAGAAGTATTAACATCCTGGAATATTTCGTGGAGCTTTACTTTCTGGTATGTTATATAGTAGAAATTCAAGTGTATTTTTAACTTAAACACGTTTTTATTTTGAGTTTCTTTCCCATTTCAAGCAGCAATTGCTTAAGGGGATGCATTTTCCTCTAGTTGATCAATGACTTTAAATAGAAATGGAGACATAATTTATTAATTGTTCATTTCCTCCAATTTTTTTTTCTCACATGTGTATGCTCAGAAATTGACTCTTGAAATTTACTGTCTGATGTTTTACTTAACTGGTCATCAAGATTGAAGAAGGCAATCATTAGTGAAATTGTAATTCACTGGTTAAACTATTTTAAAAGACTTAAAAAAACTGGTAACTAAATTATGTTTCAAGAGTTTTTAACTAAGTACTGAAGAAGTACAGAAATAATCTCCTAGGAAAAGTAAACAGGTGGCAGATGGTAAAGAGTGTTGTACTTTTATGTAGCAGATTGTTGAACTTTCTTGAGAGTTACTTCCTTTACCATCACATACTGTATGTTTGTAGCCATGAGTTGGGGAACACTCAAAATCTTGTACAACAAAATAACCTACTTTATTTTCCTTTACAGGCTCCTCCGTTACCATCCGCCTCATCTTGATATTGTTCCATGGACATTCAATATGAGACCTTTTCTGCTATTCAGGAAGTAACCCAGTTCTGCACCACTAGTTTTTGTAGCTATCTCGTAAGGCTGCTGGCTGAAAACTGTGTCTATGCAACCTTCCAAGTGCGGAGTGTCAACCAGCTGGATTGGGGAGAGTACTACTCTCTCCTGCTCCAGGACTCTCACAAGCTAATCAGCTGAACTTCAGAGAAAAAATAATAATAATTTCCATGTTTTGTATATATCTGACAAAACTGGCAACATCATACAGACTACTGACTTGAACACACCTCTTTTATATTTCTCTACTTCTGGGCTGATGAATTTGTTTTCATCTATCTTTTCTCCCCTTTCAGAATTTTCCTTGGAATAAAATACTAGCCTAGCTGGTCATTTCTTTGTAAGGTAGATAGCGATTTTAAGTCTTTCTTTGGTCAACTTTTTTTTTAATGTGAAAAGTTAAGTAAGAAACTTTTTTTTTTACTGCTTTTATGTTTTTCTGTCTTGTTTTGAAACCATAATGGTTACACTTTGGGTTCCTAAATAAAACATTAATCAAAAAAAAATTAACAGCCAAGTCACAAAGATAATGGATTGCACATAGACTAAGGAATAAACTTCAGATTTGTGATTTTTGTTTCTAATCTTGATGTAAATTTACACTATTTATAAATACATATTTATTGCTTGAAAATATTTGTGAATGGAATGCTGTTATTTTTTCCAGATTTACCTGCCATTGAAATTTTAAGGAGTTCTGTAATTTTAAACACTACTCCTATTACATTTTCTATGTGTAAATAAAACTGCTTAGCATTGTACAGAAACTTTTATTAAAATTGTTTAATGTTTAAAGAGTTTTCTATTGTTTGAGTTTTAAAAAGAATTTATGTACAGTGCCCAGTTTTGTTCATTTTTCAAATCTGATTATATATATTTTATATATACTTAAGTATGTATATATAATATATATAGAAATCTGGATATATATGTATAAAGATTTAGAACTAAAATTTTTCTCATTTTAAGTTTCACATCTATGGTAGATTTTTGAGGTGTCTACTGTAAAGTATTGCTTACAAAAGTATGATTATTTTTAAAGAAATATATATGGTATGTATCTTTAAGACTTAAAATGTCAGACTGGTTTGTTGTTAAATTGCAATTACTGCAGTGACGGACCAATAAACAATTGCTGCCAAAATGTAGTATAGTAATAGAAAAAAACAGTAATTGGAGTTAAGATTTTAAGCGGAATGTTATATGGGTTTAACAAATCCTGTGCATCACTTATTAACATTTTCTATGGACAAAAAAGGATTCTAGGATTAAGGGCTTTGCTTTAGGATGTAAGTAAATTAAGAAACATTTTTTAAATGTTAGGAAATTTTGAAATCACATGCTTTTCCTGCTTATATGAACTGGGGCAGGTGGCTGCAAATTCTACTAAAATATAGAAACTTAGCATTCACAAGTCACTGCTAATTAATAGTATTTTATTGATGACATTGTTTTTACCTTCATTTTCTGAAGCATTAGCGCTCGCTCTCAAGGTTTTCTACATATTTCCAATGAATATAATGCTGTAAATGAAGAGATATATATTTTTTCTCTTTTTCTTTTTCTATTTTCTTTTTTTATTTCTTTTTTTGGTCCAAAACCAAGACTCAAACTCCATATCTGCCACTTTCAGTCATCAAGATAATTTTGAATGACATTATCTCCCTAAAAACAATTAGAAGACTGTAAACATGGAAGTGTTCTCTTCAATTGGTTGATAATTTTGTTAATATAATCATCTCTTATTTATAATTTCAGAAGGAATAATTTCAAATGTATTTAGTTAGGGCATGAGAATGCTTCTGTAAATGGCACTCAGGCTTTTTAGTCATGAATCTTTTTACGGCATTTTCTTGTTTGTTTGTTTTTAATCTTTTATCCAAAAGCTGTACATTAAAAAAAAACTTCATGGCAAGCAGTTTTACTAATAAAAAGTGCAAGCACACCTTCAAGAAGAGAGATAAGCGTGCTAATACTATACCCAAATGGTTTCTTAACCTGTTCCAGGCTTGTTACACTATCTTCTGAGGTTTTATAATTTATTATCATTATAAATATGTTATCTGGTATTTAGCACACTTTGTTTACTCCACATTTGGTTTATATGTGGAGAGTAATACTCTTCAAGAACTTTGAAGGGGTAGGTGATAGGGAGTGAAAGTCAAACAAATCAACATTACTCAAAGTATAAGGTCTGTGCTGTCCTCTATAAACTGCTTTTTGTTGCTCTAACACCATTTGTGTTTCTCAGGCTCTAGAAAACAAAATTGTTTTTGTTTTTACTTTAAGTTCTATTAAAGCACCTGATCCAAATGATTTAATGGAACATAGTCGCATCATAGCACACACATTGTTCAGAGAACAAATTTGATCTAACAATACATGGGAAAGCAGATGATGCTTCAGAAAGTGAGAAATAATCTTATTGGCACCGTAGGAATTTTAGTAGTAGTAATATAGCAATTACTTTAACCAATTTAAGTCAATTAAAATTGGCTTCTGTTTATTAAAATCGAAATCACTTTTCCAAGATAATGTCAATTGACAACTAAGATGTTCAAGATGCTAGTAATTGGCAAACTGAAATTTAAGATCACATAATAAGAACTTGATGTAAATCAAGTGTCTGCTATTTGAAGGAGCCTAAGTATGATATTTTAAGGTTAGGTTGATTTTCATTTCTCTGTATATTTATCCTGAATATGAATAACTTATCCATGCCTTCTCCCCCATATACAAGTACAGGACAGAGCCATGTAAACAAATGCAAAGAGGGGGGTAACTGGAAGATTAGTGGTATTGGGGGCTTATATTTTAGCATTTTCCCTGAGAAGGCAGAAAGACTTGGAAACTTCCGGTAGTTTGCTTGAGGTTGAAGAAGTGCTAAATTAAGACCTTGAGAAGTTGGATGTTTCTGATATTGCAAAGCTGTTTCTGTCCATAAGATTTCACCCTATGGTTAATATGGAAAAATCTTTTTGATTTAAACAAAAGAACATTCAATTTGTAGTTGTAGTAGTTGCCTCTTTTAGCTAATAATTCCAGCTGTCCTTTATATTAATAAATAATATTTCTAAAGCACAGAACCATCAAGGAAGAGATTATTTCAATTTTTAAGTTTGAATCTCATGGAAGTGGGAACAGGGAAGGCACAGATTTGGAAGACAAAAGTCCACAGGACTGGGGCTGGGAAGGTGGCTCCGTGGTAGAGCGCTTGCCTTACGTGCATGAGGCCCTGGGTTCGATCCCTCAGCACCATATAAGCAGAAAAAACCAGAAGTGACACTGTGGCTCAAGTGGTAGAGCGCTAGCCTTGACCTGAAGAACTGAGGGACATTGTCCAGGCCCAGATTTCATGCTCCACAACTGACCACAAAAAAAAAAATGTCCCCAACCAGGTAGAATGCTTCTAATGAGGTCCATCTGAGAAGCTCAAGGCAAAAGATATTGCATTGCTTCTGGGGCATCTAATCTGGTATGAAAGTAGTAGTTAAACATGTTGATCTGGAGTTAGGGGTGGCCTGGACCATAAACACATCTGGATGTCGTTTGGGTAGTACTTAAAAGCCAAGATCATGTGACTGGAGGCATGGCTCAAGTGGTAGAGCACATGCCTAGCAAGCTCAAAGGATTGAGTTCAAACCATTCACTGGGGAGAGAAGTGGACCACAAACCCAATAAGGGACATAGGCACATAATGAGCAAACAAATTGTAACAAAAGAAAGCTTAAATTAGCCAAAGGTAGTGTTGAGAGCTTTTGGAGGAAAAATACCACCTTGCTACAAAAGGTGAAGATTTAAAGAAATTTGGGTTGCCATAAGACTGTCCCATTTGCCAGACCTCCTTAAGTAAAGTGACAAACGTTGCCATAATAATTTTTTTTAAAAGGTAATAACTTTGAGATGGTCAGGTCATTCTAGGAGCTACAGATAGAAAGTTATGTTAGCCTTTGATGAGTGGCAGAAAGATTTTTTAATATTAAATATGTAGCTTCCTAAAATGCACTACACAAGTTTTTGTATGTACCAATATTTTAATGCAACCCATATAAATGTCTTATTTTTGAAATAAGACACTTCAACTGAACAGAAAAATGGGAATTCTCTTTGTGACCCAAAGATACCAACCATGTATTGAGAATTTGTATAAACATGGTGTTTACGCCTTGCAAGTGACTCTTAAGTGTCTTAATCCTCATCTTTATAAGATAAGTGATATCAAGTGATTTCCATAAGGTGCTCAGTTACTGAGTGATGAACTGATGATTACAGCTTACAGATTCTAGAGCAACTGCTATTGTACCTCTCATGGCAGAGAAATAGGAATTGCTGGGTCCTTACTCCACAGTCACATTTGGGAGTCTTTCCATTTTGAAAATGAGTCCTGATCAAGATTCTCTTTAAACTTCACAGCCTATAATCAAGCTAATCATACTATGTGTGTGTACGTGTGTGTGAACTCAGGTCCTGGGCACTGTTCCTTAGTATTTTTGACCAAAGCTAGTGCTCTACCACTTCAGCCACAGCTCCACTTCTGGCTTTTTGGTGGTTATTTGGAAATAAGAGTCTCACAGACTTCCCTGCCTGGGCTGGCTTCAAGCTGCAATAGTCAGATCTCAGCCTCATGAGTGCTAGTACAGGATTGAGCCACCAGCACCCAGCTAACTATATCTTTTATAGTTTTTATATATCTTTTATAGTTCAAATCAGGACCCCTTTGAGATTGGAAAAGGAATACTTAACTGAGCTTGACAACAGTCACAAAATGAAGCTCTTCTAGGCAACCCAAAATGTGTGGTATAGTGTGTTTAAGTTGGTCTTTGGATAAAGCAGTTTGGGACATGTACTAAGTTGCTCAACATTATATTTCTAGGGTTTACATTCTTAATACACATTTTTATTGTAAAGATACTGTAAAGAGGGGTTACAGTTACATGAATAAGGTAATGAGTACATTTCCTATTGAGCATTGTTACCCCCTCCTTTGTTTTTCCCCTATCATCCCTTCCCTCCCCAACTCCCTCCCCCCCACCCAAGTTGTTGAGTTCCTTTTCAACATAGTGTCTTGTACATCTCATTGTTGCAGTGGGTCAACCTGTATCCTTGTTTCAGCATTTTGTTATTTCCCTTCCCCTCCCCAAATTAGAAAAATATGTGTACAAGATGCCGGGTACCAGAATCAAATACAGTGAAAACAGGGGTTATACCATGGGGGAAGAACATACAAAAGAAACAGAAAAATCACACAGTACATTATAAGTACATTAAAAACAACGGCAACAATGATAAATCCTCTATGAATTGAATAGTGCAAGAGTTGATCAGAAATCTGCAATTGCTCCAGATCTTCCTGGACCCTCCAAAAGCCATCTGGTGAAAGGAACCTCCCTTCCTGGAGGTTTCTTAAGACACAGAGCTCCTCATCACTCAGGCCGACTGGTGGATGCTGCCACCCCCTCAATTTGCAAACATTGAAACCTCAGCAAACAAAGCAGCAAAGAAAAGTTCTGTGATGCCCTCATCCCAGCTCTATCTCTAAAAGCAGCCACTGTTACCTGCTTGGTGTGACCCTTCCAGACCTTTCCAAGGTATGGTCATACCATTTGTATGAACTCACGGAAGTATTAGGTTGTGGGTCCTGAACTCTGGGCCTGGGTACTGTCCCTCAGCTCTTCAGCTCAAGGCTAGTGCCCTACCACTGAAGCCAAAGCACCCGCCCCTTCCTGCTTTGCCTGTTTATGTGGTACTGAGAAACCAAACT